GGGCATTGAAAATGGGTCGTGGATGGGTATTCTAGCATGACAATGACCCAAAACACATGGCCAAGGCAACAAAGGAGTGGCTTAAGAAGAAGCACATGAAGGTCCTGGTGTGGCCTAGCTAGTCTCCAGACCTTAATCCCATAGAAAATCTGTGGAGGGAGCTGAAGGTTCAAGTTGCCAAACGCCAGCCTCGAAACCATAATGACTTGGAGAAGATTTGCAAAGAGGAGTGGGACAAAATCCCTCCTGAGATGTGTGCAAACCAGGTGGCCAACTACAAGAAACGTCTGACCTCTGTGATTGCCAACAAGGGTTTTGCCACCAAGTACTAAGTCATGTTTTGCAGAGGGGTCAAATACTTATTTCCCTCATTAAAATGCAAATCAATTTATAAAAATTTTGACATGCGTTTTTATGGATTTTTTGTTGTTATTCTGTCTGTCACTGTTCAAATAAACCTACCATTAAAATTAAAGACTGATCATTTCTTCGTCAGTGGGCAAACGTACAAAATCAGCAGGGGATCAAATACTTTTTTCCCTCATTTACGGGGTGATGCTTGTTGACCAAGTCTTTATAACAAAAAACAACAAACGCTTGCTTACATAAATTAAATCATGCTGAGATGGCCGATTGTTCATTATGGTTTCGTTTTTTTTCTCTCCGAACAAATTATCACAAGGGTATTATTAATTCTATTTAATTGGTGCATAAACTTCTTTATTGCTATTGATTCATCAAAGAATTGAAAGACTGCTGAGAGTTATTTCAGTGCCAGCACATATTTCCGCCATGACCACATTTCCTTGCCTGGGGATGTCGTGCCACGTGCCACGCAAACTCAAATGAAAAGGACCGAGAGGGTATGGAGATGACGTTCTCGACTCGTGAAAAAAATTCCGCTTTAATTATTTGCACGACAAAGGAACATCATGGCAATATTGGGCATTTCACATCAGTGCGTATTTCCGAACTGCACTGGCGCATATATCTCAGCGGTCACATTTAGAGGTGAGATAATTGGGAGATTAAGTCAATTCGACGACTGAAAATGTGTAACTACCTTTTTTTAATTTTGATTACACAAGCCCCTTTTAAGATGGCACACCCTGCCTCCTGAAGGTGGGAAACCCCAGAAAAGCCACGCCCAGCGTGATATGGTGGACGATGCTGATGACGTCACCAAGGCCTGCCAATGACCTCTCGTATATCGTACACACGGGAACTGGAGGTGTCTTCTTTCCCCAACTATTTTAGTCACGGAATTAAATGATAATCAGTTAGGGTAATCGACCACTGGTGCATTGTACCGACTTGTGCGCTTACTTCAATAAAAAACATAAAAAATGTAGATGAATAAAATAATCGGATAGCCCAGCTCCGCTTAATTTTGCCACTGATAACTTCTGTCGCCATAACGACAGAGGCCTCAACAACCTGCTTCTACCACTTTAATGGCACAACACAGTTTAAGGCGTAAAACTAGGTTACCAACGGTGGCATGAAAAAGCCAATCTTGTCAACAGATGTTGTTGTTGTGCCTCAGAAAACTATTTCTTTCTCAGCAAACCCATTTTCTTGAAAACCCTTTACATACCAATTTGCAAGGCATATGGGGAAAAAATCATTTTCAATTATAATCCACTATGAACGTATGCGCTAACCGCTTCCACACAATGCTCCTTCTGATCCTGTTAGTGTGATCAACTTCTTCTCAGCAAACATTTTTGCCCGTTTTTGTTTTGTTAATTAAAAACATCTCATTGCTTATCAGCGGCACGTTTAATAAAATAAAATTTACACTGGCTAAATAAAAAGATAATACCAGCTTTGACTCGAAATAACAATCGTAAAATCATAACATGTGAATTTTACAAATATGAAGGATATTTATTTTTAGGCCAGGATATTTCTCCCTTGCCTCTCACGCCATTGTAAATGTTCAGACTAAATGCATTGATCTGCTGTCTGTTTTATCAGATCTGCAGCAACGTATTCATCGACCCAACTATCCAGAGTACACACGCTCGTGCAACAATACTTTCTCTTGCAGAGCCAATTATGCTGTGGAAAAACAGTGCTTACAACGTTCGCCAGGAAGAAGAAACAATTCTAAGCGTAACCGAACTATACCGCACAACGCTACCACAACATAAAATGGTCCGCCGGCTAACCTTTACATTATTTATAATTTAAATTAATGTACAAATAAAGTTTTACTGCACTGTGTCTATAGAGCCTGTCTTCTAGTCGGTCGACATTCTGGCTGAACCAATTTTCGAGGCGAATGCGACTCGCTCTCTCCCGCTATAGCAGGACTAATCTACTAATATGCTGGTGCGATACTCCGCTGCTCTCTGTCAATGGTACACCGGCGATGCCGACTGGCTGACAGGCTTGGTTTCCAGGGGACCTGGCGCGTCGCGGAAAATAAATTGGTTTTCGCACGGTCTGAACCAGAGCAGGTCTATGTTTAAAAAAAAAAACGTTGCATTAATTTTTCCTCGTCATCGTGTAGCCAGAGCAAACTTAGCACGGAAGCGCTGGAAATGAAGAGGCTCGTAAAGCAAGCGCATTACAGGTCGGACATTCGAACCTTAAGGCGCCACATGTAAAGATGTAATAATGCAACCCGGTTAGGCTACACGCATTATATTTGACGCTGCAAGATTGTTGACGATGTCACAAACACACATGCAACCGTGTCCAACACAGATGGTATTTAACAACAAAAAACACACGCTTGACCTTACTATGTGCTCTGAACTCACCAAGGTTAACACCAGCTGGCTTTGTACCGAGCTGCAAATCACCATTTGGGCATCTGCATGGGATTTTTTTAAAATCAAAAAGTCCAAAAGCATTTGGGTCCAGGAAGCTGTTAGCAACACAAGCAATAATGGGGTTAGACTGATTATACCAATCCACAGCAGAGGATAAAAAAACACTCAACATATGTTTGTGTTCTGGGCCATCCTACCCCACCACAGCTGCCAAAAGGGCAAAGTCTCATGGCACACTGTTACATTCTCTAATTAAAACTGTAGAAACCTAATAACTAAATGAATAACCTAATTAAATAAATAACTAACTAGCCATACCTTCAATTAGATGTGCGAGCATGAATGGATAGGCCAACAAACCTGGCCCGTAACTCTGACCCTTTTTCATAGACCTCAGAATTCCTGCGGGAGCCACCCTCCGCTGCACCGTATTGTTCCTCCAGGTTCTCCACACTAACCCACCTGCTTTATTATCCGCCGCGTTCACGTCTGTCACCAATTTGGAAGGAGAAAAAAATAATCCCCGAGCGGAAGATGTATTCTCCGTCTCCCTCATACCTTCTTTCCGTCACATCTTTATATACTTACTTTGCTTTCGAAGTATTTCCTTCGCACAACAATGGCGACACATCATTTTGGTGGGATTCTTTTGGTGTCACCCCCCCCCAAAAAACTTGACTTTGAAAATCACTGGATCATTCGATAATTTTCAGCGCTGACCAGGTTGTCGCTGGGTGTTCCGTCGAAAGCATTTGAACCGAAGTACCGTCATTTACATTCTGCCGCTGGGATGATCAAAACCGGGAAGATTCGTCACGGGCCCAAAGGATTCCGGAACGGTGGCAAGTGGCTGCCGACTCAAACAATTCCCGCGCAGCTGCGAGCACAGGCGCGACCGCGCGCAAAAAACATCGCGCAGCATGTGAAAACGTGCGATTTTCCCTTCGACTCTCGATCGCATCGCTTCGACATTCCGATGTCAACGCCAAAAATTGAACGCGAAACCAATAACAGCGGAGATGTTATTTGACCTAGGAGGAAGGGGATTTTTTTTCCTCGTAAGCCAAGCAAACGAGCTGTGACAGCAAGCAGGTGACATCTCTCCACAGTGTTGTCTTCTGATCACGACAGATATTTCGCCTTTTTCGAGAAAAGTCGCGAATGACCGTTTGCGACGTGCTCAGCCGCGCGAGCAACACAGCGGTGGAAACAGCGAGTAAAAATTACGGTTTCAAGTGCCTGTCCGGGATGTGATTGCAAGAGATTATCGCTCTTAACTGCCTAATTTTTACCATCGGATATCGACGTAAAATGTGGGTTTGTTCTGTATGTGGAAATGTGGAATTAAGAGGAAACAGGAGCGCCAAGTGAAGATGAACAGACTCCCCATGGTCGTATGAGCACGAGAGCCTTTGAAAACTTTGAACGTGCCATTGCCAAGAAACATCTCATAAAGAAGACAAATGTATTCTGTCATGGTGATCTTTTTGAAGGAAGACGTAAAAAAAACGAACTAGTGGCTGAGAGGGTCATCGGTCTCATGATGCGTGTGTAAGAAGAGCACAGCGCTGGCAGCCTGAGGTGGATTCCTGTGAGAACTGCTCTGAAATCGATGTCGAAAGGATTTCAGCTGATTCTTCTCAAACAGGTCACAAATGATTCTTGTACATTTGAGTGGATTCTGTGAAAAAGGGAATTACAGGAACAATGCAGGTCTATTAGACAGCCTCTTCATCACACCAGCCTGCTGTGTAAGAACGAGTTAGAGACTCTCAAAGCCCAAATGATGCTTATATGAAATGTTTTGATTATAGTAAAACTCCACTCATCCGATTTGGTATGGGGGAGCTATGAGCAGACCCTATTTATCCGTTGCTCAGCCATCCATTTCACTCTGCACGAAATGTCGCGTATGTATGCTGAATTTCTTTCGCACCGGACGTAGCCAACCGTGCTAATTGGATGGACACGGAAAAGGAGACGAATCCCTTGCGACTTCTGGGAGGCTCCTGTTCCCATGCACGAATGCTCAGACGACAGGAAGAATGTATGGATTTCAGGATATCGGAGAGCTATACAGCACAACCCCCGAATACCTACGCAGTTGTCGTACTGTAAACATGACTTTGAGCGTGATCAACCCCAAGAGGATGCGGATACTCAGTCGGGTCACGTTGACCGTCGCAGATGGTCGCGACGGAAGCAAAGCTTCAGTACCGTGGCAAAGCGGGTGTTGAGGTGCCGTAGATCCGCTCTCAGGCCTTCCCTCTGGTCATGAGACAGCCGGGGCCCCTGAGGCTGGTCCTTTGTGCTGTGGTCCAGCCTGGCCAGCTCTGCTTGCCGCTCTGCCAACTCGTTCAGCTTTCCCTGTGGGTAAGAGTGCAGCAGTGGAGGCGGTGCAGGGGGAGCACAATATCAGAGAGCGGTCATTAACGAGCGATGGCACACGGCGCCCCTGCGCGGACCTTCACGCTTAACTTTCAAATTAGAATGAAATCACGCGGCTGGCTGAGGCGCACAACACTTGGGCAGTGCGAGGCGTTGCGCTCCGTACAATTATATCATCAGCTCACATTCATAGTCGTAATTGTCTAACTGATGGAATGCGCCTTCGTAAAACTTAAGACACGCCAGAGCTGTAATCAGCCTGGGGGACATGCCAGGCATTAAAAAAAAGTACATTCAAAAGATACGAGACCCCCCCCCCCCCCCGACACACGGCTCACGTTGGCCTACACGCTCTTTCTCGCAACGATTGCCACCAGCCATAGGAGGTGAGGATAGTACCCCCAAAGACATAAATTAATTTATCTCACACTCGTAACCCCCCCCCCCCCCCGTGACACACGCCTTCTTTTGCCATCATCCAAAGCATCCATCTCTTAATCAGGTCATCTACATGTCCGTATTTATAAACGCGCCCGAGATTTACTGCAATTGATACCGGTCCACTAATGAATTCAGACACACTTTGTGTGCACGCACACACAAACATTCCCATATTAAATTTAACAGACTCTGAGAAGGTCAACAAAGACAAGCGGCACATATGCAAACAAACATTCTGTACGTTTGTGTGTGTGTGTGTGCTGGAGGATTTGGAGAACGGAGTGCAGAAAAAAAAGCCTGACTTAAATGACAAATGGGCTTGGCAAGAGGGCTACGTTTAAACAGATGCTTTAGGCAGAATCGTTTGTCAGTCTAACTAAGTGCACAAAAGTCACTGCCAAATCTCCGCTTCATTCAATAAGCGAGGTGGGTAGGTGTAAAGCCAGCGTGTAAATGCATCAGCAAGTAAAAAAAATACATCGGGTGATCAATAAATGCATAAATAAATGAACGACTGCGACTTTTAAAGGCACCGCTCATTAGATGCACTTGGCAGCTGGGCTGAGAGGAGTTTTTGGGAAATTAATAATACCACGGAGAGCCAACAACCGGCACGGTTGTAAAAACACCGAGCCATATTGTTTTCCCAGTGCTGAATGTAAGGCAATTTTTGTTGGTTCAGTCCGTATTTTCCTTTGTCCGAAATGTATGCGGGTGAAACAAAAATAAGGATGAGGAGCGCGAAATGAGTTGAAGTTTCAGATTTGAGGCGGTCAGCCATCGTGCCAAAGGTTATCTTTGGCGGTCGCACGTCCGCCACTTATTGATGAGGCTCACGGTTCGATTCCAATTGGCCACCCTGGTTATTACGGCGCTCGCAGTAACGCCAAGCGCCGTCCGCTGCACGATGGACGTCAAATATCCCCCGACGTCATTCGCAACGAGCAGGCCGTTGTGTGCCAGTGTCAGGGTCCAAATGTGTCAAAATTCGAAAAAGCGGGCGCCAAATTACTCAACTGGGATTATACACACATCGCAAGCGATCATCAGCCCTCCCTACCGGCAAGCTAATGCCCCAAGTGACGGTTGCAAATGAGAGTATTATGGTCACCTGAGTTCTCACCCGGTTAAACGAAATAATCTTGAAACTATCGCTCAGTCGGGGAGACAAAGCCAGTATGAACTGGCCCGGGTCTCTGCACCTCCCGAAAATTGTGGACCTCGATTCAAGTGCCGGTGTCTTTGCGATGCCGGTGGCATGGCAATAATAATAATACAATATCCACCAGTGCATCGTGGTGCATGTGCTGTGTTATATATAAAAAAACGAGGGTTGATTTCTGTTTCCTCGACGGAATAGAACGGCGTGTTGTGCTCGCTCGCCACGGACGTCTGCATTAATATTTCTCGCACGCTCTTCCATGTGAAACACAACTACAGCGATTCTGCGCAGCGTCTAAAAACCATCTGTTGTTTCACCGACACTCGTACGGGAACATTTTTAATTGCACGTGACTTTTCATGACAAATACAAAGACCTCCCCCCCCCACCACCACCCTCGACACTGCGTAGCCTGAACAGACGACATGGTTGCAAGTGCTGTTTGCGAGCACCAATTAAGGTAGGCACAGTGTACAACGGGAGTGGCATTGCCAACGCCACTCCTGGCTGCCTTCAGCTCCTCAGTGCTGAAGTGTACGCACCGTACCTGGTACTCATTTAAGGCTGAGTCAACCTAGGGGTACGCCCATAACTTGTTCAGATATTCGCCAGAAATGTTTGGGGCCGTCCATAAATGACGTCACGCGATTTTGGACGATTTTTGACCCCGCCCCCCCCCCCCCCATTGTCGCACGGCATCACAAAAAGTCAGACTCCTCCTCAAATATGACGTCACAAAGCTCTGCCCCCCCCCCCCAAATTAAAACATGCTTCAAATCGCTTTAAACTATTGTCATTGTAGTGCGTATTTTTGTGCCGCTGCACTCTGATGTTGCAGGAGAAAACATTTATTAAAAAGTCGAATTAATTCAAGAGAACGTGTTGTCTATATTTATTTAAAGTTGCGCATTTTGATGTGACGTCACATTTTGCAACCCCCCCCCCCCTAGTCACACATCGTCACAAATGTCTGCCCCCCCCCCCAGGTGCGTGACGTCATTTATGGACGGCCCCTTAGTCGTGACTAGGAATCAAACATGAGTTGTCGGGTTTGAAGTGCACAACAGTATCACTCCCCACAATTAATCAAATACAAAGATCACCTCCGTATAGCCTTCACAGACTGTTGGGGGCAAGTGCAGTTAGTGAGCACCTATATAGTCCAGCACAGGACAAGAGACGCACAAAGACAAAAATCCCCTGTACAGCCTAAACAGACTGTTTGGGAAAGTGCTGTTAGCGAGCACCTAGGAAGGCCGGCACGGCACACGAGGGGGTGTGTGGCCAGCACCACGCCCGGCCGCCTTTGTCTCCCTAATGCTGATGTTTACACACCGCACCAGGTACTTATTTGAGGCTGAGTCGACCTAGGGGAAGCCCAGGACCGGTTCAGATAATTGTGACTGGTGTTGGCCATGAGCGGGAATGTAACGCTTGCCGCTGAGTTTGCAGCGCAGCGCGCTAACCGCTATACTACCGCTCTACTAAGAGCTGCACACACACATACACACACGTGCACAAATCAATTGAAGTTTCTCTCTGAGCACCGGTCACTGTACATCCATTTGCCTATTTCGCAACGCAAAAAAGAGACGACGCAAGAGACGTCGTAATGAGTCTCGATGGGAAAACAGCAAATGACAATCGTTGAAACCACAGAGGGCTCTCGGTGAAGCCATTGTTATAATGATTGGCATTCCGAGCAGCTCTTTGTATATTTGCTGGACGGATGGCTGAAGGAAAGGTCAGCCTGGGGGAGGTGGGCTGGAGGGAAGGACAGAGAAAGATAGGCTCTCAGAGCACGGCGCATAGCGGGCCGGCAAAAAAAAGGCAGAGGCACGGCGCACATTTATCTGCCGAAGGTCCTTTCCATTCCACGCTCAGATGCTGCAGTGATCCTTCAAGGAGGCACAAAGAGTGAGATGCATGCCGTCACTCAACCAGCCATCCAGCCAGCAAACGAGGTGTACTTACAGAGCCAGAGCACAGACCAACACTCTGAAGGCGATGCCCCTAACTTAACCTTATGCAATGTGTGCTGCCCATGAAATGCTGTTGGTGGTCAGATTTCTTTTATTTACACGTTGGTTTCAAGCACACCTATAAAAGCATTATTCCGAAGGGGAAAACATTGAAAATTGTTCCATGGCTTTGTGGGATACATTTCTTTAAGTCAAGTAGACTTAAATATGTCAAAGGAATGCTTCATACTAGATAAGGGTGGTCATTATTTAAAAGAAGGTCCACACTAATATATGAGTGTACACTCTCCAGCAATATTTTTTTATAAAAGCTAACCTGTTACATATAAAGGCCCACAATAAATACTGGCCAAGAAATGGGCGCTCAGGGCAGGCACACAAACAAGACATCCTTGTAAATAATGCATTTAATTTCCCGGTTTGTGGAATATTTTTTATTCATGCATAAAATAACACGTTCATGTTGTCTTTTTGTGCGGATTGCAGTGTTATGGAAGCTATACAAGAGCCATCGGTGAATGCAAAATAGTCTACTAATTTGCAGCATTTGTCTCCTCTATCATAGCAATTGCGATAATTGTGCCCTTTCTCAGAAATCCCTTTATTCAATGTTTGCACAAAAACACACGTATATTTAAAATCAGAAGCACGCATTGCTGTGGAGCGCTGCTTGGAAGAATGCGTACAACAACAAAGATGACAGTTTTTGGCAGGGGTTTTTTGCAAAAGGTGAAAGGTTTCTCTCTGATAGAATTTCTGTTTAAAAACATTTCTAACCTGTTTGTTATGAAAGGTACTCGTCCTCAGCAGCAACATTTTATCCCAAGAAGTTGGTTCAAGGACTTTCTCTGGATCCCCCCCCCCCCACCGCCGCCGCCGTTGATCAAAGATGGCATGGATGTGCTGCGTTTGAAGACAACGTTTAGTCTTTTTTTTACCTACGATGTTTTGCAAAGTTTGCCTTTCCATAATCGGTGTCACGAAGCCAACCATTTGATAATGAAAAAAGGGAGCACTTTTAAAATGATCTCCTGTCGGGAGGCCACATTTATTGAAATTACCAGGGGCAGCCACTGCTGTTTGGCACGTCTGTGTTCCTGAAAACTGGTACTCAGCTTGGGTGCTGTTCGCACAATCACAGAACTGGAGATTAAATGCAGCAAAGTAAATACTTTCGAAGTTACGAGAGATGTTGTCATATGGATGGACTGATTAGAATTTGTGGGAACATTTAGTTTTTTTAAAAGTAGCGTTCTTGTCCTTACACTTTACAAATTATGTTTTAATCACTTTTTTGTTTAGCTAATTTATCTCATCGCAGATGAAACTGATACTTGCTTTCTATGATTATATTATAAAGCGTATATCAGCAGAACTCCATTCTGCGTGTCCAT